TAAGTTTTTATCAATTTTCGCGATTAAAACGATGAACGGGGAGGCAATGGAATATACGCGACTCGGTTTGCGCGGGAAATTTGAAAAATATTTTCAAAATTTTCTGCATAACTTAATACACGTAATTGAAGGGACGCGGTGCGTCTGAATTTATATTTACACTTTAGGATAGAATCGTTTGAACTTCCAAGAGAAAAGTGGAAAGTTTTTATCGATACGGAATAGAACAATTTGTTCTGTCGTTTTTTTTTTTCTCTCTCGTTGTTTATCTTGCAATTCGATTTGTCGCATGGAAGAAAAAAATTAATCCACGGATTCTTTTGGAATCCAGAAACAATACCGAGACGTTCGAGTCGACGAATGTCTGGGTAGTCTAATAAAATTGATGAAAAGACTGCCTATTACGAATTTGACGAAACCGAGAGCTAGGTGTAATTCGAATTTGTATTTTTCGATGAACAGCACACAGACTTTTACACTCATCAATCCGATTTTTACGGTGATTAAATCAAATATTGATCTTCTTTCTTCGAACGCGGCAGTAAACGATTGTTGTCTTGACTCTGGTCAATTATTCGAGATTAATTCTTCGCTTTGCGAAACGAAGATGAAAATCTTTATCTTTTGAAACATTTTTCACAATTCACACATTGTTACATTGATATTAAAAATTTAGATGCATAATTTATATTGATTTTGAAAGTTATTTTTCAATTATATCGATTATCGAAAAATTAGTTACGCACAGATTGCTTATAGCAAATTTTTATAACGTTCCTTCATCAAATACACGTAAGATTTTTATGTGTTTTCAAAAATTTGTCATTCGAATTAGAAATGTTATTTTCATATAAATTATATTATAACGTGATAATTTAATGAGGCATTTTATACGATCAATGATAAATTATAAAAATTAATGTAGTTAGCGCGGAATTTAAGAATGCATTTTAAAAATGCTGACACAATGCCTACACGTTCTGGGGTATATATGAAAAAATTGATGAAGAAAATAAAAAAACCGTAGTATTCTAAATTAATTTAATCTTCGTAGAAAAACAATTATGGGAATTGCGCAAAATTTATATTTTTGTTTTTTTTTCATATTTCTTTTTAAATTAATTAATAATAAAATTATTATTAGGGATGATTTCAAAATCAAAAATGATTCTATTTTTTAATAATTCATGTTTTAAAAGCACATTAGATTACTGTTACGCTTGTCATATTAAAAGAAAAGTGCTTTTATTCTGTACAATGATATAAAAATTTAATAACATTCATATTGATATTATTTTTAATGTTTCTGGTAACAATATATACTTTATATTTGTTCAATATTCAAATAGAAATCCATATGGATATCTATTCACGTTTATTGAATATTTATTCAGATAATATACTTCTGTGGATTCGAATTCGAATTATTTTTAATATAAAGCTTGAATTGAAATGTTTATCAAAAGATTCTTTATTTTTAAAATATTACGTGTATTTTATGAATAATGACAATCTCTTCTTGTTTTTATGCAAAGAAATTTATTTCAAAGTTGTACTATTTGCAAATTTGACGATTTGCAATTGCATGACACAGAATAAAAGTAAATTATTGGACATTTTTTGCTTAAAATCGTTAATTAAGCATTTTTTTATAATATGAAAATTCTAAAACAATTTTTATCATCATATAACACAATTTTTCTATATCAAAGAAATCGAAAATTCGAAACTTTTATTTCCGTATCCTGTATATTAAATTATATACATTTCTATGAACTAGATGATGTGACCGAAAATAAGTATCGAACGAATTATCTGTAAATTATCTTTAGATTAAGTATTTAAAGGTGTGATGTTTACGATTTTAATTGTTGATAGATATCAATAGAACGTATGGATACTAAAATTAACGTACTACGACTAGAATAATAAATTTATCGGAATTTTCTCAAACTTTAAAGCGTAACAGCAATCATACGAAGAAATAGCTTTCAAAGTTTTGGGACTATTCGTTAAGAGTGGAATTGACAAATGTAGAATGTGTAAGGAGAAACATTTGCTGGACTCTTTATATAACTATTTACATTATGGAATTTACTAGATTCGAACGTACACGGACAAATATAGAATCATATAAGTCGATATTCGATCTAATCGATCATTTAATAGTAGGATCTTAGCTATACATGGTGAAAATTTTTTTTTGCCCTTTTTTTTTCTTTTTTTTTTTTCGGAAAACATTTTCTAAAATCACGCCACTGGACGATAAATGGTCACACTTAGTAATGAGTGACGTAAGTCAAAATTTATACTTCTTAATTTATTAAATTACCGCAGAAAAAGAACTATTGTTACCTCTTATTAGTTAAATTCTAGTAATTCTCATAAATGTGAACACGTGTGCATTTAAATAGAAATACTTGAATAATAGCATGCATCATCCTTTTTTGTCCAATGGCTGATTTCTAAGGAATATTTAAAAAAAATTCGATGATTCATAAATTACTCGGCAATCTATAATTACGTCACATTTTGTAAAGATTCTCTTGTTCATATCGATCCATCGTTCGAATCACGCGAGAAAAAGAAATAAGTGTTGAAATCCTTTTTGTTGACATTCATATATTGTAATATACGCTGTTAATCATGTTCGAGAACGCAAATCCTATTAGATATTAATAATAACAGGTGACACTTAATAGTAACAGGTGATTATTGTTCAACATTGCCAATCACTATCATAGGTGACGATCATTTTTAGATAAATGATCTTTTTCACGAAGATCTTTCACGTTACATCGATGTATATTCAATACATGCATTGTAAATGTACAGTCGTTATTTGTAAAATATTCCATCGAGTATGAGAGATTTTTGCAAGATCTAGTCAAGTGTGACCTTACTAAAAAAAAAAAAAAGAAAAAAAAGAAAAAGAGGAAAAAGAAAAACGTTTTCGAATCATTCTCATTACTACGTACGCAACATGTACCTGTTCAAATGGATTCCTAGTATAAGTTAATTTCAATTTAATTAATATAATTAATTTACGTAGGTATTTAAATAATTATTCATCGAGCGAATCGTTGCGTCTATTGTTCGTTAATTATTTGTAATATTTTTTTGGAGCAGATATTATGATATTCTCTATGCGAATTTTATTCATCGCGATAATGATGAAAGACACGATTATTGATATCGATTTTTTTTCAAAATTGTTAAACTCTCATAATTTCTGAAATATTATTCTAAATTTTCTTACAAATATTTCGTATATCGTTAAATCTTTTTAAAATGTACATTTTATCATTGTATAATTTCCGAATCATTTTATATTTTTATTAATATATTTAATAACTTTCTTCCAATTATAGTTCTCGAATACTTTGTTCAAATTGTAGCATTCGAATATTTTCAAAATTTGCAATTTTGATAAATTAATATAAATTGTTATGTTCCTATTTACAAAAAGAATGAAAAATACATTATTTCTTATTGATTTTTAAAAGAAACATTTCTTATAATATGTAAATTATTTGAAGATAAAATATCATTTAGTTAAGCTTTATCAAACAAAGTAAAAAATGAATTTAAAAATTAAATTGGACTTATATCCGAATAACTTTATGATACTAGATTTTACAAAAAACAATCTTCTTTATAAGTCAATTTTTGCATCTATATAATCACGAAGTTATTTTTTATTTAATTTTCTATCAAAGACATATCAATTGATCAATTAACGATTATTGTTTAAATATCAATATATAATATCAATATTATGGTGAATTACTACCAATAAAAAATTAACACTCGTCATTGTACGAAGAGGTACATATTGTGCTAGGAAATCATATATTTTGCTTTCATTCCTATAATAAATATTAATTGTAAAAAAAAATATTAAAGTATATTAGATAAAGATTTCAATTTTATATTAATATATCTGTCATCATTTGTATTATAATTTTCTTTATCTATAATACAATTTTTAAATTTAGATATTTCTCAATCTTGTTTGGTAAAATTGGAAATTATATCAATATCAATACAATGATAAAAAAAAAAAAATCACGATGAAATGTTGTTAAAAAGTATTCGTATACATCGAACATATAATTGTGAAAAAAGTTGCAATCAAAAAATACGTACAATGATAGAAAAAAATGATAGGAAATTAGAAAAAAAAATCATTAAAATTTTCATTTGCGAGATTATCTTTTGACTTTTCTTGTTCTTTTATCATTTTTCGTTTATTTCATAAATCGATGCTCATTGATACTACATAAATACTTGTAAACTAAGAAATAACTATAAGTTTTCAAAATGGAGGAGAATTTAGTGGAGAAGAAAGAACTTTATTCGTAAAAACTAGCATAGTTCAAAAAAATCACGTACGTAGCTCAAAGATAAAAGACACATTCGAGTGTTTTTAGTTCAAAGTGTTCTCTCGTTAGCTCGAAACGAAAAAGAAAAAAAACCAAAATACGAGAAATAGGTTAATATATCATAATTTAATGAAATGTTACACTTATGAAATGCACGCGCATAAAACTATTATACAAGCGGTTTACTTTATCGTGGATTCGACCACAGGCTTCTAATCGGTTCCTATGTAATTATCGAATCTTTCAAAGTACGCACAAGCAAATTAGTTAAATTTACGTACTTAAGTAATCGATCGATAAATTGATTGATAACCAGATAGAAAAGTCGATCGATCCATGTTGCAATTATGCGAGAGATCATATCATCAAGAATACACGCGTGTGCGCATATGTGTGATCTAGAGATATTTTTTATTCGAACATTTTTTTATTTAAAAAAATTTAGCAAATTCGATTGAGAAATGAAATTAAGGAACGCGTTATTCGTAATG